TTTTTTCCATTTTGTGTTGTTTGTTTGAGACAGGGTCTTGGTGTGTAACCCAGGCTGGCCTTACATTCACTGTGTAGTGTAGATTGGCCTCTACTGCCTGCCTCAGCTTCTCAAGTGCTGGGATGACAGCTGTGTGCCACCATGGCCCACTGATTTACTTTTTAATGTTCCTGTGCAGGATACTAGAGGAAGGATAGGAAAAGAGACTTTATATGAAGAATATGGCTCTGGCTATCAAAATTGAGTAAGAGCCAGGCATGGTGGCCCATCCCAACAATCCCAGCACTGGAAGCCAAAGCAAGGGGACTGCCACAAATTCAAGGCCAACCTGAGCTATATAGCGAAACTTTAGCTCAAAAACAAAGAATTTAGTTTCTATATTTGTTTGTCAGTGGGAAAAGTGAGAGAAAGTAGTTAGAATTAGTATTGGTATTTGAGATAGCAGTGGGGAAAAAGGGAGATATTTAGGGAAATTGCAGATTCATTTTGTCTTAGATGTGGTCTCGTTAGACTGCTCAGGCTGGTGAACGTCTGCTCTGAAGGGATCCTTCTGCCCCATTTTCTGAGTGCTGGGATTACAGGCCTCGGCCTGTGCTTGACCTTGCATTAAATTGTAACATTGTTATTACTAAACCAAAGAAAAAAGCATTGGTGATTCCTGATGGGTTTCTTCCCCTATGGAACTCAGCCAGGATCATTATGGCTGGTGATCCAACATGGCCTTGCGTCCCGAAACAATAACTTGTCACTTCCAGACCAACTTCCCTGTTTATTTCTAGTCCCAAAATAGACTGTCTCCTTTTCTCAGTGTGCCAACAACTCTCCAACCCTTTTGACACAATGCTTTGCCTGCCCATGTAAACTCTACCTCTGGTACAACCTGATTAAAAAAAAAAAATCCTACTCCCAGTTTCCACCTCCAAGGATTCTTGTTTCTCTTTAGCAGCCCTCCCATGCCAAGCAATAAAGGCTCCTTTTATTTTTCTCCTGTTTCTCACTTGCGCCAAAGAAAAACACGACAATTCCAAGTTTACTTGCCCTGTTGCTGTCACTACCATTTCTTGTTTGTGTAGCTCAGAAGTGTCATACCCTGCAAAGCATGAATTCTCATCTGGAAGCAGTGTTAAAAAAGAAGAGGTCCCTCAGGCAAAGGTTATTGAAGCCCATGTGCCAGGAAAACTTGCCTATGGAAGCTGTTTACCACAGGTGTGCCTGGAGCGTGGGAATGAGCAGTTAGCCATGTTTTGAGGGCAGTTTTTGGTTAGACTAACAATTACTTTATAGCATCTGTAAGGAAACAATGTATTGCTGATTATACTTGTTAACATTATTGTTGATAAATTAAACCAGAAAAAAAAATCCTTTCCTTTTGAAGATTTGTTGCTATGGTGAAAAGAGGATGTCTTTTGCCCATTGTGTTGGAAATTATAAATTATGGTTTTCATGAAAAAAAAATTGGATCCATACATGTAAGAAAGTTGATAAAAATTGTTTTTATTATAGTTTTCTATGAAGTACATGTATTGTTGGTTTTTTTTTTTTTTTTTTTTTTGCAGAACCGGGGATTGAACTCAGGCCCTTACACTTGCCAGGGAAGCGCTTATTCCACTGAGCCATCTCCCCGGCCCATGTATTGTTGAATTAATGTTGCATATATAAAATGTTGGAAGTGTTTAACATGGAGAGCTTAAAACAGTGTCAACTTGGGGCTGGAGAGATGGCTCAGTGGAATAAGCGCTTCCCTGGCAAGTGCAAGAGCCTGAGTTCAATCCCTGGTTCCACAAAAACCCAAAACAAAACAAAACAATGTCAACTATGTGGAAGTAAAAAATTGGATTCTGGTCTCATCTGTGTTGTATATATGCTTGAAAAGCTTGGGCAAATGATTTTAACTATTGCCTCAATTTCACAGTCCATAGACTGGGAGGGCTTCTGTTGCTTTTTTCCTCTTTAGAGCATTAACAAGTTAAGTTGAAGGTTTGACTTTTCTGGATTTTTTGTGGGGGTGGGTTGTTGTTTTGAGACAGGGTCTCACTGTGTTGTCCAGGTAGGCCTTGAACTCACTGTGTATCCTGGACTGGCCTCAAATTATGGTGATCTTCTTGCTTCAGCCTCCTGAATGCTGAAATTAAAGGCATGCACCATCATTTTGTGCTCTTTTTATTTATTTATGTATTTATTTATTTAGACAGAACCAGGAATTGAAGTCAGGCCCCTTTGCTTGCCAGGCAAGCGCTTATTCCACTGAGTAAGAGCTATCTCCCTGGCCTCTTCTTTTTTTATTTTGGAGAGTCTTGCTATGTTCCCCAGATTGGCCTTGACTCAAGTTTCTCCAATCTCAGCCTCTGAGTAGCTAGAATTATTGTCTCTTAAGTGTCAGAACATTTTATTTTCTAGTTTGTATAATAATATAACCCTTGTTCTTTTGGCTCTATTAGGTATCTAACCAATAATGTATATATACACTATTACATGCTTCAGAGAAGAACCGAGGGCCTGTTCTGGTGGTGCATGCCCGTGATCCTAACACTCAGGACCTGTTTTAGGATCCATAGAACATTCTGTGATGGGGGAGGATTACTGCAAATTCAAGGCCAGCTTGGGCTACATAGTAAATTTAACTCCAACCTGAACTACAAAGTGAGACCCTGACTCAAGAAAACAAAAGAAAAACTGACTAATGATTGTACAGCATTTTCCAAATCTAAAAACTCAATGTATTTTTATGTGAAGATTTTCAATATAGTATATTTATCCTTATTATCTATACTCTTAAAATGAGTAAATTAAAATGGAATGAGGTTTTAGCTAGAGAAATCCCTTATGAAAAATTTATTATCATACCATTGAGGGTTATTTAACATTAGGTTGTGTTCTAGATATGACGATTAGTATTGTCTTTCTGGGTTTGCTTGTTTTTGCTTTTCTTTCCTTTGAATAAGTCTTGCTTATTTGTGAAAAAAAAAAATGAATAAGTCTTGCTTAAAGAAAAAGAGAAGGACCTTTTCTTCATTTGTTTTTGTGGTACTGGAGATTGAACCCAGTACCTGTGCATGGCACTGAGCAACATTCCCAGAAGTTTTTTTTTTTTTTTTTTTTTTTTTTTAGGAGAATTATGCCTTTATTGGAGATTGAACCCAGTACCTGTGCATGGCACTGAGCAACATTCCCAGAAGTTTTTTTTTTTTTTTTTTTTTTTTTTTTTTTTTTAATTTGATACATGGTCTCACTATGCAGTTCACTCAGTGATCCTCTTGTCTCAGCGTCTCAAGCACTGGGATTGCAAATGTGCACCACCATGCCTGGTTATTTTTCCTTTAATCAAGACTTAATTTAAATTAAGATAAATAGAATCAACCTAATGAGCCAATAACAATCTTTCTACATTCATAAAAATACCAATGATTGGCTGTATGTGGCAGCACATGCCTGTAATCTTAGCACTCAGAAGGCTTGCTGTGAGTTCAAGGCCAGTTTGGGCTATATATGTTTAAAGCTAGCCTGAACTATATAAAGAGACCCTGTCTCAAAGCAAAAACAGGGGCCAGGGCGATGGCTCAGTGGAATAAGCGCTTCCCTGGCAAGTGCAAGGACCTGAGTTCAGTCCCTGGTTCCACCAAAACAAACAAACAAACAAACAAAAAACAGAAACTTCTCTTCAGGCCTGGTAATACATGCGTGTAATCCCATCTCAGCACTTTCAGAGGCTGAGACAAGATGATTACAAGTTCAAATCCAGCCTGAGAGATTTAACAACTTAGCAAAACTCTGTCTTAAAACAAAAATTAAAAAACTTCTGGGGCAGGAGAGATAGCTCAGTGGTCTAAGCGCCTGCCTGGCAAGAGCAGTTACAGCAAGTGCTGTAATCCCAGCACTCAGGAGGCCTGAGGCAGGAGGATCATTGTGAATGCAAGACCAGCCTGGACTACAAAGTGAGCTCAAGGATTACTGCATAGTGAGACCCGTCTAAAAGACAAAAAATGAATAAATAAAAATGAAAAAATAAAATAAAGTAACAGAAGCATAAACCAAAACAATGCTGAATTTTTTTTCTCCATCTTTCAGATACATAGTACAGTTGCTACAGTTGGCTGTGACTTTCATTGAAAAGTTGGAAACCCATCTTGAAACAGTTAGAAATATCCCTCATTTAGATGAAAATCTAAAGAGAATGGTGAGTAGTAATATAGCTATATTTCATTTTCTTATACTGGAATATCAAAATATGTAATTGCCTCAGTTACTTTCCTTGTTGCTGAGACAAAATACTCAGTACCTACAGATTGAAGAAAAGATTTATTTCAACTCAAAGTTTATAGACATTTGGGTGGTACCATCCATACTAGTGAGGACCTTCTCAGTATCCACACCCAGAATTAGACTAAAGCAATCAAGGGACTCATTTGCTAATCATACACCCTTAACCCAAACATCACACATCCTAGATCCATCCACCTTCAAAAAGCCCCACCTGTGACTGCATGAAGCTTGAGCTAATTATCTTTAAAATCAAGAACTGTTTTTGTAGTCAAGCACCATGGCACATGCCTGAATCCTAGCAAGCTAAGACAAAGGGATTGCAAGTTTGAGGACAGCCTGTATAACCTCCCTCAGCCTCCTGAACGCTGGGTGTATAGGCATGCACCAGCACACCTGACCTAGAAATCTTTTGATAATTTTTTTTTATTCCAGATCTGGGGAAATAGCTCAGTGCTTTAAGCACCTGTCTGGCAAGTGTAAGGACCCAAGTTCGATCCCCAGTACCTCATGCTGTGCTGGGCCCAGAACCCCGGGTGTGCCATGTTGGTCCCAAAAGCAGGCATTGTGGCACATGCCTACAATCCCAGCGCTAGGGAGGCTGAGGCAGGAGGATCACTACAAGTCTGAGCTGCATAGTGAGACCCTGTATCCAATTAAAATCAAAATTAGAGCCGGCCAAATAGCTCAGCCGATTAAAGCTCCTGCAAGCAGGTACAAGGACTAGGGATTTGATCCCTGGGCCTGCCATGCCGGCCCTGCCCACAGGGTGCACTGAGACTTCGATTGAGACTGGGTGTGGTGGTGCACACTTGTAATCCCAGCTCTTGGGAGGCCGTACACAGGCGGATCACTACTAGTCCAATCTAGTAGACCCTGAACACCCTATAGACCCTTCCCTAAAAAACACAAAATAAGAAAAAAATTATTCCAGAACTTAGTAAAAATATATTATCTTTGTTTAGGATATGGTTATCCCTGAATTCTGCCCTCAGGATGAGACAGGGTGAGACAGCATTAAGATACATGCTTTTGGGGGCTTTGCCAGATAGCTCAATTGTTTCAAGTGCCCCTTGGGCTAATGCAATCAGGCGCATAGGACCACGGTTCAATTCTCAGCTCCAGAAGCTGCACCAGACCTGCCCTTAAAGGCAGCATGAAGTTGAAAAAACAAAAAACCTCTTAAGATACATGCTTTCTTTTTTTTTTGCAGTACCAGGGATTGAACTCAGGATCTTGTGCTTGCCAGGCAGGCGCTTATTCTACTGAACCATCTCCCTGGCACCCAATACATGCTTTCTACTTCTTTTGTGTGTACGGTACTGGGGATTGAACTCAGGACTTGTGCTTACATGCAGGCATTTATGCCCCTGAACTATCTCCCCAGCCCTATGCTTTCTACTTTATAGGTCTATGTTTACATAATAAATGCAGTGTTTAATTATAAAGACATATAGCTAGGTGTCATGGTATACTCCTATAATCCCTACTGCTTGAGAGACTGAAACAAGAGGATCACAAGTTAAAGGCCATCCTGGGCAAATTAGCAAGACTGTCTCATATTTTTTTTTTTTTTTCCTGAACTATATACCAAGACCCTGTGTCAAAAAAAAGGGAAAAAAGAATTACAATGAAAAGGGCTGGCCAGCTAGCTCCACAGATTAAAGCGCCTGCTTAGGCAGACCCAGGGACGGGGTTCGATCGGCCGTGTACCGTGCCGGCCCCGCCCCTGGGGCACACTGAGACATCGATTGAGACTGAGCATGGTGGCACACAGCTATAATCCCAGCACTTGGGAGGCTGAAAACAGGAGTCTTTAAAGTGGTTGATTGTTATTAGTTTCTACAATTCTTTATTTCTTTCAATAAAGAGATTCTTCCGAAGTCATGGGATTATAGGTGTGCACCACCATGCCCAGCCCAGATACTGTAGTTTTTAGTCTGGGTATTTTGATGGTAGTAAGTAGCATTAAGTGTACATTAACATATTCCTGCTGATTTGTATACTACCAGTGATAAGATAATCATAAAGGTACCCCCAGTCATTCAGAGCCACTTTGCAGAGATGTATGGATTACAGCCTCATCATGAATGTGTTTAAGAAATGATGGGATTAGTTTTGGGGTGTTTTTTTTTTGGGGGGGGGTGTTTTTGTTTGTTTGTTTTTTTTGTTTGTCTGGTTGGTTTTTTTTTTTTTTTTTTTTTTTTTTAGGAGAATTATGCCTTTATTCCTTGTTTTGCCAATTAGGCAGGCTGAATAGTTTGCTTTTTGATGATCAAAGAGACCAAATCCCATATCCTCATCTGACTCCTCCAACTCTTCCTTGGTTTCCACCTTGGCTGGGGCAACTGCAGCAGCAGGAGCAGCACTGGTGGCTGCAGCAACAGGAGCCGCAGCCACAAATGCAAATGGATCAGCTAAGAAGGCCTTGACCTTTTCAGCAAGTGGGAAGGTGTAATCAGTCTCCACAGACAAAACCAGGACCTACTTGTACCCATTGATGATAGAATGGGGCACTGATGCAACAGTTGGGTAACCAATCTGCAGACAGACACTGGCAACATTGCAGACACCCTCCAGAAAGCAAGAATGCAGAGTTTCTTCTGTAATGTCAAGGACTTCTGGGTTGTAGATGCTTCCATTGTCAAACACTTACTGAATGATCAGCCCAAAAGACAATGGGGAGATGTTCAACATATTCAAGAGGGTTGCTTCGCTGGCTCCCACTTTGTCCCCAGTCTTTTTTATTTTATTTTATTTATTTTTTTTTACATTTAGTGTGTGTGTGTGTGTGTGTGTGTGTGGCCAGCTCAGCCCACCAGAGGGCGGGGCTGGCTGGCATGTGGTGCTGGGGGATTGAACCGTGGTCTCTGTGCTTTGCTAAGCTTGTTCTAAGTAGGTGCTTTAGACCACTGAGCCATCTCACCAGCCCCTGTCCCCAGTCTTAATCAGCTATACATCACTAAGGATTTCAATGGTGCCCCTGGAGATTTTAGTGGTGATGCCCAGAGGCTGGAAGGAGGTCTTCTCGGGCTCCCGACCAATGTTCTGGGCAGGCACGGTGACTTCACATGGTGCAATGGCACCTGCACAGGCAGCAGTAGGCACCTTATTGGCCAGCAATATATCCCTGATCTCAGTGAGGTCCTCCTTGGTGAAACAAAGCCCACATTCCCCCGGATATGAGGCAACAATTTCTCCAGAGCTGGGTTGTTTTCCAGATGTCCTCGGATGGCCTTGCGCATCATAGTAGTCTTGCCCATCAGCACCATGACCTTCCCTTGGAGGGACATTCGGATCTGCTGCATCTGCTTGGAGCCCACATTGTCTGCTCCCACAATGAAGCATTTTGGATAATCATCCAAAAGTTGGATGATCTTTAGATCTTTAGGAAGTAGTTAGATTTCCAGGTCGCCCTGTCTTCCCTGGGCTTCACGGCAGTGCGTCAGGGATTGCCACAGAGGGTTTAAAGATGACGTCACTCTCACAAGGACACCTGGAAAGAGTGTTTTGGGGCTTTTTGTTAGTTTGTTTTTGCTTTTGTGTTTTGAGACAGGGTCACACTATGTAGTTCACACTACTGTGAACATACTGTGTAGCCCAGACTGGCCTCAAATTTTTTTTTTTTTTTTTTTGGCCTCAAAATTGAGGCAAATCATTCTGCCTCTAATTCCCAAGTGCCGGGATTATAGGTATGTGCCACTGTGCCTGGTTTGAATTGTTTTTCATGACTTGCACATGTAAATGTTTACTTGTTGTTTGTTGAGCTGTGGAGTTTGAGCTATTGAATGTACATTCAGATGAAGATTTTTTTTTTTTTTTTTGTGGTACAGGGAATTGAACTCAGGACCTTGCGCTTGCAAGGCAAGCACTTATTTTACTAAGCTATCTTCCCTGGCCCTCAGATGAAGATTGTTGATGGACTTAAACATGAGACTACATTTTAGAAAGAACATCAGGTTTGACAATAGGTTGAGGGTCATCTGCATTGAGTAGATGATTGATGACAAAGAAGTGAACTCATGAAGATATGTACTTCAGGAAAGGAGAGAACATAATTTTATGGAGATTTTGCAGTAGGGGCTGGGAGAAGTACAGGCATTAACTTTTGATACTGTAACCATTTGTGAAATTATTATGAGTTAATGACAGTTACAATTTCTTTCTCTTTCTTTCAAATGTTACAGAGCAAGGCTTTAGCCAAGATGGATATTTTGGTGAATGAGACAGAGGAACTGGCAGAGAATATACTCAAATGGCAAGAACAACAAAAGGAAGTTTCTTCTTGGATCCCCAAAATGTCAGATGAAGAAAATTATGCTCTTAAACATGACAATATTATACCTTCTCTACCTGTCACTTCTAAAGTTCACATTTAACTATTAATGCCAGGCCTGGGTAGAGTTCAGCAGCGTGGCATCAGCCTGGCAAGCACGAAGTCTTGAGTTCTGTTCCTAGTTCCAAAACAACAACAACCTATTAATGTCTAAGGCTCATCATCTTTATTTTTACTTAACTATGTATGTATATATAAAGTCCATTCTTGGGGAGTTTTCACATGGGTATGTAGACTTAGCTGCTACCAGTGCTAAAAGGGCCCTGTTTCTATTGGACTACCAAGATTCCAGGGTTCATTGGGACCAAACTTATTTTTTCCTTTTCTTTATGTATTCTTAATCTATTTTTCAGAAAGCTAATACAAACAAAATATAGCTATATTGTAAATTAATTAAACCATTATGTCTTTTTATTTTTAATGTATTTAGTACAAGGTCTACAGGGTCTCACTACACAGATCAGACTCAGTGATCCTCCTGTTTTCAGCCTCCCAAGTGCTGGAATTACAGGCATGCTAACACACTCAATCTCAAATACCATCTCTGCATACCCCAAGGGCAGGCCAGCATGGCATGCTGAGGATCGAACCCCGCTCCCTGCATCTGCCTACGCAGGAGCTTTAATCCACTGAGCTATCTGGCCAGCCCTTATTATGTCTCTTTCTCTCTTTTTTTTTTTTTTTTTCAGAGCCAGGGATTGAACTCAGGCCCTTGTGCTTGCCAGGGAAGCACTTATTCCTCTGAGCCATCTCCTCAGCCCCAATTATTACGTCTTCTTTAAAAAATCATCTTTCTGAATTATCTTCTGGAATCTGAAAATATCTATGGCGATTATTCCCATGAAATTGTCATGGTGTGCAGGAAAGAATAACATACCAGGCCTGTTATCCATAGAAAGTCCTGCTGACAGGGCTGGCCCTTGGCTGACCCATCTGTGTTCTTAACTGTCAGGAGGGTTCCCTCTACTCTCTCTAATAAAAGTGGCTCATTTGGCCAGGAAGATAGCTCAATGGAATAAGTGCTGCCTGGCAAGCTCAGGGTCCTGAGTTCAATCCCTGGTACTGGGAAAAAAAAAAAAAAAAAAGTGGCTCAGTGTGACCCAGATGATTATAACATGGCTTGTGCAAAACCGTTGTTTCTTTTTGGGAGTTGAGAATTTTGATACATACCAGTTAAAAGGATCCTTTGTGACTAGTACCTAGTAAAATCCTGGGCCTTGTATCTCTAACATGTTTTCCTGATAGGTAACTTCATGTTATGGTCACAGTTCAGTTGTTGGAGGGGTGAGGCATATCCTGAATGATTCCACTGGCAGAGGACTTCTGCCTAATTTTCCCAAGACTTTGCCCCATGAACCATTTCTTTGCTGTTTTGATGTGTGTGTGTGTGTGTGTTTTCATGGTGCTATAGTGAACTCAGGAACTTGTGTATGTGGAGCACCTGCTCCACCGCTGTCTTTCCTTGTGTGTAATAGACAGTGGTTATAATGGTGATAACGCTGAGGCCTGTGAATCTTCATAGCAGAGCATGTTCCTGTACTTCCTAATACACTATTCAATTTCTGAGGGTGCTTACTGGTAGACTTAGAAACTGGCAAAGAAGAAGAGGAGAGAAAATAAAAGAAACAACACATTATAGTATAAATTTTTAAATATCTTGCAAAATGCTCAGACATTTCACTTGAGATTATTGTTCATATAAGTGGTTCCTAGAGCCAGGCGTGGCGCCTCACGTGGGTGATATCTCACTCCTGTCAGTGCTGGGACAAATACCCAACATCCAAAATGAAGGAAGGATGGGGCTGGTGAGATGGCTCAGTGGTCTAAAGCACCTACTTAGAACAAGCTAAGCTCAAGCAAAGCACAGAGACCTTGGTTCAATCCCCCAGCACCATATGCTGGCCCGCCCACCCCCTGGTGGGCTGAGCTGGCCACACACTAAATAAATAAGTAAATAAATAAATAAATATTTTTTTAAAAAAAATGAAGGAAGGAAAGGTTTACTCACAGTTACTGGAGGTTTCAGTCCATACTGAGCTGGCTCCAAGGCAGAGCGGCACACGCAGAGAGCAACCTTTCATGGCAGCAGCAAGGAGTGAGAGAGCAAAGGGAGGAGTAGCAGCATCTCAAGCGACTAGCTTCTCTTTCCTCCTTACATTGTAATGCAAATTACCTGCCCCAGGGTGAGTGCAGCATCCACACCCACAGTAATGACAAGCTGCAGGGCCCAGGAGATAGCTCAATAGAATAAGTGCTTGCCTGGCAAGCACAAGGGCCGGAGTTTAATCCCCGGTTGGGGGGGTGGGGAGACAAGCTGCCCCAAGACTGCCCCATGATTGCCTGAGGCTTTGCGGGAGCAACTAGTTACCAACCTTGTAACAGGAGGCTAAGGCAGGAGAATTGCTGCAAGTTGGAAATGAGCCTGGGCTACATAATGAGCTCAAGGACAGCCTGAACTACATAACAAAACCCTGTCTCAAAAAAACAAAAAAAAGTACATAAAATACTGGTCATATTGTTGTTTTTTGTTTGTTTGTTTGTTTGTTTTTTTGGCGGAACCAGGGATCCGGGGATTGAACTCAGGCCCTTGTGCTTGCCAAGGAAGTGCTTATTCCACTGAGCCATCTCCCCGGCTCCGGTCATATTGTAACAGAAAGGGACAGGGGAGATGACTCAGTGGAATAAGCACTTCCCTGGCAAGCGCAAGGGCCTGAGTTCAATCCCCACTTCCGCAAAAAAAAAAAAAGAAAAACCCATATTGTAACAGAAAATGCAGCCCCACTACCATCACCAGTATATTTCAGTTTCTTAGTTGCCCAGGTAATGGTTCCTGTTCTAGTTCTGGTTGCTTCTATCTCAAAATGGCTGGTCACTATGATGTGCATTATGTAAACCAGGCCCCAACTGACAAGCCATTCTACCTCTACTTCTGCTTGTTTATCTCATATAAGACCGAGACCACCAGAAATTGACCTGATATCCTGGAAATGATCCCATTCAGTGCCCAGTTGACATAAATCTGCCTCCAAATCCTGGCTGTTGTTTCAGTTTTTCTGCTTGCCATTTCAGTATACTCTAATAACAATATATTCACTTGTATCACAGCTGTAACTACTCTTGGTTTATTTTGTTTTCAGACCCAAGATTCTGTTTTACCCTAAAATGTGTGCATTGATATTTTTATACTCTGTGTGTGTGTGTGTGTGTGTGCGCGCGCGTGTGTGTTTGAGACAGGGTCTCACTATGCAGTTCAGGATGACTTTGAACTCACTTTATAGTCCATGCTGCTGGTCTTGTAATTTGCAACGATCCTCCTGCCTCAGCCTCTTTAGTGCTGGGATTACAGGTGTGTGCCACCAAACTTGGCCGATTTTTTTTTTTTTTTTTTAGGAACCGGGGATTGAACTCAGACCCTTGCTCTTGCCAGGGAAGCACTTATTTTATTGAGCTATCTCCCCAGCCCTTGGCTGATATTTTCATACTGTTGGATTTCTGTACCACAAGGGTCCACCTTGTTCAGCATACACCATGGAAGAATTCACACAATAAGTAAAGTAGTTTTTTTATTTTTTATTTTTATTTTTTGTATTTTAGGGAAGGATCTACAGGATGTTCAGGGTCTCACAACTAGATCGGCTCATGGTGATTCTCCTGTTTATAGTCTCCCAAGTGCTGTGATTATAGGCTGCCGCCACCATGCCAGGGTCAATCACTGTCTCAGCATGTGCATGGCAGGTCTGGGGATTGAACCCCCAGCCCTTGCACCTGTCTGCAGGCGCTTTAATCCATTGAGCTATTTGGCTGGCCCTCAGTAGGTGTTTTCTTTTTTGTTGTTGTTTTTGGTTTTTTTTGCGGGGGGCGGGGGGAACTGGGGATTGAATTTAGGCCCTTGTGCTTGCAAGGGAAGCACTTATTCTACTGAGCCATCTCCCTGGCCCCCTAAAGTAGGTATTCTTAACAAAGCAGAATCATCAAAAAATGTCCTGCTAAAAACATGCAATGGTAATTGAGAAGTAGTAATATCTTGAACATTATGTAGACACTTAGCAAAAGCCTTAGCTGTATTTCATAATTTATTCATGCCTGGGGCCAGGGAGATGGCTCAGGGGCTGGGGAGATGGCTCAGTGGAATAAGTGCTTCCCTGGCAAGTGCAAGGGCCTAAGTTCAATCCCCGGTTCCGCCAAAAAAAAACCCCAAAAAACAAAAATCATAATTTATTCATGCCCATCTTTTTTCCTCATGTGATTTCCTATAGGTACTAGTGTGTGTATATGTACATACAATATTATATGTCATGCCATGTTGGAAATATTGATACACCTGATTTTGTATTAACTTTTTTTCAAAATAGAATAGGGGAGATGGCTCAGTAGAATAAGCACTTGCCTGGCAAGCACAAGGGCCTGAGTTCAATTCCCAGTTCCACCAAAAAAAAAAAGAAAAAGAAAAAAAATCTTTCTGCAGTCAGGCATGGTGGCACACCCCATAGTCCCAGCACTTGGGAAGCTGAAGCATGAATTGTTGCAAGTTTGAGACTAGCCTGAACTACAAAATAAGCTCAAGACTAGCCTGAGCTGCATAGTGAAACCCTGTCTCAAAAAGACAAAAAATAAATAAAAATAAAAATAAGCCTGTAATTTTTTTTTTTTTTTTTTTTGGTGGAACCGGGGATTGAACTCAGATCCTTGCGTTTGCCAGTCAAGCACTTATCCTACTGAGCCATCTCCCCGGCCCCAAGCCTGTAATTTTTAACTAAAATGTTTTGCCCCTAGTGTGACTCCCAAGTCATACAAAGGGAAGATGCTGTTCAGCTTGTGTAAGTATTGGCATTCAGGCTGCCTAAATCTTATAAGCTTGAGGTCTACCTTAAAGAGAAAAAAATAATTTAATACTATACTAGGATCAGTAAGTGATGATGAATTTTTTTGAGTCAATTTTTTTTTTTATATGGAATCTCACTATGTAGCTTAGATTGCCCTCAACTCACAATGATCCTCCTGCCTTAGCATCTCAGCTTGGTGGGATTACAGGTATGGGCTACTATTCCCAGTTTAAATTCAATTTTTTTTTTAATTTTTTTTTTTTAACATTTATTTTGTGTGTGTGTGTGTGTGTGTGTGTGTGTGTGTGTGTGGCCAGCTCAGCCCACCAGGGGGCGCGGCTGGCTGGCATGTGGTGCTGGGGGATCGAACCGAGCTCCCTGGGCTTTTCCAAGCTTGTTCCAAATAGGTGCTTTAGACCACTGAGCCATCTCTCCAGCCCCTAAATTCAATTTTTAAACATATACCTACCAAAAACAGTTTGCTAGGGGCTGGAGAGATGGCTCAGTGGTCTGAAGCACCTACTTAGAACAAGCTTGGCAAAGCATCAGGGACCGCGGTTCAAT